AAAAAAAAAAAAGAAATCTACATATTCACATATACATATTGAGTGTGAATAAATCTGGGGAGATTTAAAAACAAAATCTAAAATTGTTGTCAACAAGGAAGTAGAAGATGGGAGAGTGGAATCAGAGTTTATTCATTTTGAGATATTTGGGAAGAGGCTAGAGATACCAGTTAACTTTAAATTAGTTCAAGCTAATTGTGCAAGTTATAATTTTAAGAGTAATTGCTCAAAGAATAGAAATAAAATATATAACTTCCAAAATAGTAAAAGGAAAAAGTGATAATGAAAACTAATGGTGTACTTTATATATTTGACCTGTGGAGTAAATAGTTTTTAAGAGCTCCTTTCTCTTTTATTTCTTATTATGAAATAAAGTGAAAAATATTAATAAAAAAGAAACAGCTTTTATAAATTTGCCAATGACTGTCAGAATGGATATTCTTTGCATATTCATGTTCAATACATAGTATAGTACATTTGTTAATTAGGTCTATCTTTGATCAAATAAAATTTAATTTAAATTTTTCTTTCACATGAAACAATAGATGGGGGTGTGTGTGTATATAAGTAAAATTAGGAAAAGAGAAATTTAAGAATACAAAAGGATAAACTGTTAAAATTTTTGTTTTACAATAAATTCCAGATATTGCAGTGTTGGCCATATCTTTTTTCCTTTGGTAACAACTGTAGTGGCTTTTAGATATCTCTGTAGTCTAAATATTTTCACCAAACCTTCTTCACCAGAAAATTCATGATTTTCTCTTATACTTGGTGAAAACTTCTAAAGTTTTCTTCTGTAAAAATCAAAGAAAATGGCTAACTGATGGCAAATATTATCATTAAGTGACACATTGCTTTAGAATGCTTTTCGTGAAAGCAATTGCAGCATTCAGACATTGCCTTTTGAATTTTTTTGCCAACTTTGTACTATCTTTTAGTTTTTTTTTCACTGATATTTATAGAAAACAGAATTGAATGTAATCATTCTGTATAATTATCTTTATAATCTTTAAAATTAGTTGGCTGTAAATATGTGGACTTATTTCTGGGCTTTATAGTCTGTTCCCTTGATCTATATATCTGTTTTAATTCTCGTTCCATGCTATTTGGTTATTATAGCTTTGTAGTGTATTTTGAAGTTAGGCAGAATGATGTCTTTGGCTTGGTTCTTTTTGGTCAGGATGTCTATTTCTGGTCTTATTTGTTTCCATACTGATTTTAGATTTTTAAATAAATTTCTATGAAGGTTGTCATTAATCTTTTGGTAGGGATTACATTGAATTTTTAAATCATTTTGAGTAGTATGGTAGTTTTGTTTTTTCATTATTATTATTTTTTCATTATTTATTTATTTATTTATTTTTGAGACAGAGTCTCACTGTGTCACCCTCAGTAGAGTGTCATGGTGTCACAGCTCACAGCAACCTCCAACTCTTGGGCTTAAGCGATTCTTTTGCCTCAGCTCCCAAGTAGTCGAGACTATAGGCACCCGCCACAATGCCTGGCTTTTTTGGTTGCAGTTGTCATTGTTGTTTAGCTGGTCCAGGCTGGATTTGAACCCACCAGCCTGGGTGTGTGTGACTGGCCCTGTAACCACTGTGCTATGGGGTGCTGAACCAGTATGGTTATTTTAACAGTATGAGAATCCATGAACATGGATTGTCTTTTTGTTTGTGTCCTCTTCAGTTTCTTTCATCAGAGTTTATAATTTTTATTGAAGAGATCTTTCATCTCCTTAGGTAAATTTATTCCAAGGTCTTTTATTTCTGAGGGTTACATTTTGATGGGTTTGGTGATTGTAGGTCACATAATGTCTAGGAAAAGTGAATAGAAGTACCAAAGGCACAATGTACAGGAATAGATTTACGATGATGGGAAAAATCAGGATGTTTAGAAGAGAGAATTGGTAAGGAAGATCAGGCCTTTGATTTGGGACTGATAAATGAGTAAACCCAAAATTCAGTTGTGCAGAGCAGTTAAAGCATGGGTGGATAGGGGGTTCAGAATCCCATTTGGAAACCTAAGCCTTTCACAGCTGTGATTAAAGTATATCAAGAGACTGAATGACAGTTTTCTGATTTTTATAGGATGATATGCATCTGTTCTTTTTGGACACAGATTTTTAAGTTTTTTTATGGTTGTACCTTTTCTTTCATAAATGTGGTAAAAAAAAAAAAA